ACAGAGCTCAGTCGCCCATTCCGGCGGCTTGTCGGCGAGCTGCCCGCCCAGACGGCCCAGGAGGAGCGTTACGCCTGGCGCCATACGTACGAAAATTTTAACTATCGCAGGGGTCTGCGTCATAGTCCCAACTATCGTCAATATCCAGATGAGTCTGTGCCGCTTTCCTTCTATAGCCATTGGCGTCCCCAGGAGAATCTGGCCACTTCATCGGCCAGTTCACAAAGCGAAAGTCCGGGTCGCAACGGTGCGCCGTATACCTTCTCCTTCTATTCGAATAATCTGGACTCCATGGACAACGTAAACGATTCCATGCAACCGAACTTATCGCAGATGCAGGACATCGATTTGGATGACTTGGATCAGGAGCGTGAGACAACACCGGAGCCAAATTCGGACTCGGAACCGGATGAACTAGAAATGGATGTAGATATTGAACCGGATGAGGTACCGATCGATCAACAAATAGTTCCACTCGAAACTTTTATACAGCAGACGGACGAGCTAATTGCACAGATTTGGGCCAGCCTTTAAGTGTTGGCGAACAGCAAAAGATCACACAGGAACTAGTTAACAAACAAACAATTATTCTTTGTGTTCCGTCCTCTTTTTTTATACCAAATTTTAAATTCTTTTAACGCAATTTCTAGTTCCTAGCATTCAATTCTAACTAAACCAACTTAACCGATGTGCCTTCTGCTCAAACGACGAATGCCTTTATTGTTGTTCTGCGCCGCATTCGGCAATTTTTGCTTGGTCCTGACATGAACAAGTGCCTCCAGGATTCCGATGCGAGTCCTTTAACTATATAATCGTCACACAAAATATTTAGAAATAGGTTATTATATGAAAATCAAATTGATTCTTAGCTATTTGTTTACATCCACATATGACAATAAATGTTCTTGTGATCGTTAGCGTGTTCTTTAAGAGTGGTTCCATAAGGGTTTCGAAAGTGGTTCGCAGAATAAGTGTCGATCGAAGCTTGTTTTGTGATTTGGAAATATTTCAAATGTTTATATCTAAGCTCAAAGTTGGTCTAGGGAAATAATATTTCATTATTCGGTGCTTAAAATTGGGCTTAAACTTGGTTCATGGCGATAGCTGGAAAACTTTAAGAGTATACATATAGATAAAATGTATATGTTATAAAAACCCCTAATTTTATAAGAATGAGGTTCCTTATAGAATAGGATTATCCAAAAATAAAGCTATGGCGCAGAGGCATATTTCAAATATGCAGGCCAAAGATAAAAATGAAAAACAATGGTAAATATGTGAGGTTGAATATGAATCAAAAACTATTTTAGAACAAATATCGTTTCTTAACCATAAACCGAATTAAATTCAATTAATGCCAGAAAGCCCTAAGAAACCTTAAGAGTATTTAGATGGCAACACACAAAAGGGAAAATGTCGATTGGAAAAAAAACAAAGCCTCTTTCAATTTAAATCGGCTTTTTTCTGCTGAGCCAGAGATCTCAAAAAGTTGTTCATATGGATAGAAAGATCTCAAGCAGAGCTAGTTTAAGGAACTGCAACAGTTCGGATTTGCGTGTTCTAATTAATATTATTTTATATTAATAAAATAGAATCAAATTATTTTAAAAAAGTTGCACACAGGCAAAAAATAAACAAAGACCATCAACGCTTCGGTGTGCCTTTGATATTTGCTGTGCATTGTTTTTCAGTTTTAATTAAAACAATTTATGCCGATAAATTGAATTCAATTATTTTATTCTAGTTCAGCTCCAGCAATCCAGGCAGCCAGACGAACCGGCGACCGGGCAGCCGGGCAGCCGGCCAACCGGCAAACCGGGCGACCCACTGCACTAAAAGCGCCTTACAAATGGATTTTTATTCTTTTTGTGGTTCGTTTCTCGTTTTTTGTGCTGTCAGTGAAAGGAAAGCTGAGAATAAAGCATGGATGCACAGGAAAATAAAGCAACTAAGAGTGTTTCAGTTGCGAGTGAACGACTCTAGGGTATACCCTGTACTCGTCTATAAACATGCATTTAGTTACCCACACCCCGCTGTGCTTTGTCCCCACTTGGACACATTCTATTAGAAACGCATTCGTAGTTATCTTAAGTGTGACATATCTATAGTTTGTAACACTTTCAGAGCTTAATACCAAATTGAGGGGTTTGTACCTTAAATATGAGCTTCTGTCAGTTTGGTGCTCATACGAGAGCCCAAAGTTTGGCTTAAGGTCACTTCTCAAAATCGATATTTATCGATAATTTATTAAACTGACAAAAACAAAGATAGACTTGTTCTGCTTATGTCAGTCGACCTGATCAAGCAGATGTGTAAAAATTACGTGCTTCTTGTTTCTTCCTTCTGCCTGTTACATGCACTGGCATAGCGGCAATCTACCCCAAACTACCGATTTCAATAGTTTGCGGGGTATAAAAACGCAGAAAGGCAGCTGCTGCGGTCGCCTTGTTAAGCTCTTGTTTTGTGCCAGAAAGAAAATGAAATAAGGCAAAGCCTGAGAAATGATTATACCATAGAATGCCAAGCATTGAATAAATCAAATATTTTTAGATTGCGGCCAGCATCACGTCGTTTAGTTCAGCTTAAATCAATGAATCAACCCCATTTGAGCTATGCTCTGATTGTGGCAAGTCCTTACAAATAGTTATTTAAATTTCAATTACAAGTTGTTGGCTGATTGTGCGAATTGGATTGAATCGATTTGGAATTGTTTTGGAATTATTTATTTTAATCACATGTGCAAGCGGCTGCTGAGGCTTTGCTTTTAAATTCGTAGACCAAGTAAATCAGTAATATTATGAGCATATATCTAGCAGTCAGTGAGCTGAATCCCTTTAAAGTATGCCTATTTTTACGTCAATTTTTGAATCGAATTGTCTTAAGCCCAAAATTTTAATTTTTTTGTATCCTGAACTGAACATTAAGCTAGATTCAGAACAGCCGAAACTAAGCCTGAGCCGAAGCATATCCGTATGATATGAATGATATATAAAGAAGTATATATATTCACAATCGGGATTAACTGCTGAGTTGATTTGATCATGACATTTCATCCAACCATTGTCTTCATATCGATAAATATCGGTCCATTGTCCTAATATCGATTAATATCGAACTTGAGACAAAGGTCTTAAGCATAACTCGAAGATAATAAGACCTAGATATACCTTTTATATGGACTTAGAATACTAGACTTTTCCTACCGAAATTTAAAATAACTTACCCTTAAAGATATATATTTGCATTTTGATATACTCACATACTGGGTGCTATCAAAGTTGTTCGATTGGAATGTCAGCTCGGATCGAGGTTCAAGGCATTTTCTGGTACTCAACACTCTCGACTTCCACTTGCTTTTCCAACTAATTCGTTGACTGTTCTCTTCCTTCATATACGTATCTTCGCCAGCTTGCCGCAACATTCCCTTGTTCGCATCATTAATTTCGACTAGATGCATCTAATCCACACACGATTTCCGCCGTTTTTGCCGACAAGGAAACGCTTTACTTACATGCCACATGCTGGTCATAATGGTGGTTGCTGGCGGGGATTGAGGGGTTGGGGTTGGGGTTGGGTTACGGTTCAGTTTCAGGTTCGGCTTTCGGTTCGAAGGTGGTTTTTGGGTCTTTGGTCTTTGGTGGTCTCTGGGTCGGAGTTCAGTTCGAGCATGTGTAACGCACGTTCCATGTGTTAACGAGTTGGAAAAATTATTATTACATTATTATTTTGCCTGCGGGTAATTCAGCAGCAGCAGCAACAACAACACCACAAGGTGCAGCCTCTCTGTGTGTGTGTGTGTGTGAGGCTTACAATAACAATAAATTTCAATTCTTCACACAGAGCAAAGCGCCTGGCATTTCTAGGATGTAACTGTGGAACGGGGTGGCAACCCTTGAGCAGCTTGCGCTCAGCAATTTATGCGCTATACGCGCGTTGGCTAAATAAATTTATAACTTACACACACACACACAGACACAAACGCACACACAACACACACACAACACACACACAACACACACACATGCAATCAGCTGCATAGTTTCGAGGCATCCCCAACTCCCAGCCCCCTTCTCCATACTTTAACTCTTCCACAACTTGAAACGAGCTTTTGGTTTGTTTTTTATTTATTTTTTTTGTTGGTCTTGGTTTATTTTACAATCCTAGTGCTACCTCCAACTGCAGGCACGCCCCTCGCTCGTATTACTCTTGGCTACATTAGTAGCTTGCGTCCATTCTGACAGCGGACCCCCTTTCTACGCCCATGCTCGCCCGCCCCAGCCACACCTCCCTCGGCTTACACATATGAGTTTATCTATGTCTCTGTCTTGTGTGCGTGAATTACGAAAATTTTCTTGCAATTAAAATTTGTTGCTTTCTGGGTATCATAATTTTATAAGTTTCAAACTAGAGACGGCGAGAGAGAGAGAGAGCGAGTGAGAAGGAGGGAGACAAAGAGAGAGAGAAAGCGGGGAAGGACCTGCTAGACGCCGTTGAATTTAACAAATTACAAAAAGCTTTGTGCATATGCTTAAAATAGATGTGCAGCTATTTGTGAATAATTATGGAAAAGTTTTAGCTTTTTACTTAAAGCTTTAATATACGAAGAAAGTTTTGTGTTGTAGCATAACAAAACCGAACGATTGTTGGCAGTAGGAGCTCCCCGGTTGCATTTGAAGCGTTTTTGAATTGAAGTCAATTTATTGTCATAATGCACTACTAAAATGTTATATTATGGAAAATTTAGGTTTTGCTTAAAGCTTTAAAAGATTTCGTGTGAAGTTAAAAACTGTATAAGGTATTTGAAGCATTAAAGCTTAAGCTTGGTTTGTTGCATTTAAAGTTTAACAGCGCCAACTCTGCAACGTTTACGGACAAGGCACAAAGAGGAATTAAAAAAATCAAATTAAAATCGTTCTATGCCTCTCGAGAGAGTATCAAATCAAGTAAGCTGTTTGAAATGTTAAACAATTACTAAATAAAGTTAAATTAGTCCCAGTTCGCTTTTTTTTTTTTTTTTTTTTTTTTTTGTTTGCTTAAATGCACTGTAAGACTTTCAAGCGGATATCAAATTGAAAGTGTTCAGCCAGATGCATATGGTAAGCAGTTGTACTTAAATATACTAATTCAGATGTATATAGCATTCATATACATAGTTCTTGGCCCGAGCTACGTCTTGCGGAATTGGGTTAACACTTCTTAATTTTGTGTGGCAGTCAACGTTGCGATACCAAGCTGTGGAATAGGACACTATTTTTATATATCCTTAACATTTGGCAGAGCTAGGAGTCCGAGTGCTCTGCTTGCGCGTGAGCTATTTTTTTTTTTTCAAAAATATTTTTGCATTGAAGTAACCATGTGAAAATTGCAGCTTTAATTCAAATAATAATGGTTGCAAGATGTCGAGACCGCATTAAGCCCAGATTTGTGGCTGCTGATTTTGGGTATATGCAGCCGCATACGAAAGCTGCACTTTATAAATTTCTAATTACACATATGCGACAATGCCTGGGGCTCAGGCACGGGCGCACACATTTAAGCCAATGCTCAGGGTCAGAGCTGTGCATAGCTTAAGAGCTGTCTATGGCGCACCTGTGGAACTATCAAATGTGTACACTGCACAAAATTCATTAGTAGGCAAATGTATTAAATCTTTCATTTTACTCAAAACTCAATTTGATCTTAACGCTATGTGCATATAAAAGTGATCTACCAACCGGCTTGTATTAAGTATTTAAATTCTTTTTTTATTTATCATAAACATAGACATAAGCTGGGTTTGAGAGATAAAGAATCTAAATCTGAGCCAGAGGAGCCTAAAAACAAGCAGCAGTTCGAATCATTTAACGAACCACCAAAAAACAAGGATGTCCGCCTTGATAAATACATACTGAAGTATCTTTGACGAGAGCTTTAAGAAGCTTTCCTTTTTTCTTTATAATTCCATCCCTAGATCTGGCCTATTTTTCCTCTGCAAGTGTTCCTTTTCCCAAGTTGATCACACGGTCAAAGCTTTTAAATGCATGCTTAAACTTAAAAGAGCTTTCAGCAGCTTTGGGCTGCAATTTTGCTGCAGGCCAAGCTCTATCTGACTTCACTTGAACACTTTGTAAGCAACGTTTTGGGCAGTGTACAACACACACACACACACACGCACATACGAGCACACCAAGGCGTACGGAGACAATCGTTTGCCTTTGTCCCTGTTAATGCCACAAATACGCCTAAAATTATGTTAAGCACTTGAGTCTGAGCCGCCCAATTGGTGGCCCATGCAGCGGTAACGCGGGCAACGATGATGGCATCGGCTCATTTATAAATCGACGACAGTAAATTATAAATGGGAATTACTCCGACAACTAAGAGGGTTTCCTATGCAAAGCATGTGTGTGCGCGGTCGTGTGTGTGTGTGTGTGTGTGTGTGTGTGCGTGTGCGTGTGTATGTGTGTGTGCACATCAACGCCTTTGTAAAATTGAGCTATCCTTTGTCGCACACAGACACATAGACACACATCGCGCGCGCGCACACACACACACACACACACACACACACCGTCGCCATCGAGGCGCATATTAAAGTTCAAAAGGCAACGACAGGCAACGGGGACAGCAACTTGCAGCTGGCAGTGTAAAATGCTGGCAGCAGCTGTCGTTGAGTGGGCGTGTAGCCAGTGTTGAACAGCGGCCAAAAAAGCCTAAGGATGACAAAGACCGCACACACACACACACACACGCTAGCACACACACATTCTATACATGCAAAAGTGCCAAAAGCAAGTTAAAAAAATAAATAAAAAGATAGAAAATAGCGCATTCTAGTCTTGAGTGCTTGACTGGCAGTTATCCTGTAATCAAGTCCTACTTGCTGTCAAAGCTAACAAGCACTTTAACCTTTAACATCTTTCATTTAACTGACGGAAAGACAATCTAAAAGGCGAAATCCTATGCATCAATATAAGATTACAATTGTTGGAGTTGCCAATGTTCTAAAGTGTTGCAGTGCTGCCACCTGTTAATGGTTTGACCATATTGAGAAGGATGGTAAATAAAATAAAAACAAAGTTAACGTCAAGTTTAACCTGAAGCTTGGCTGCTTTGAATATTTGTCCCTATCTAGGCTGCAAACCAGAATTCCAATTTGTATTTTTCAATAAGAACTGAACTGAACCTTAAACCAAGCCGTATCCAAAAGCCGATAGCGCCTGAGTTTGCTTGTATCTACGATACCCTTGCGCTTAAATGAAAGGGTATCAAAGCAACCAATGCCAGGCCATTGGCATATGGCTGGGAACAAACAAACCAGTCGACGGGCCAAAAATACAAAAAAGACGACTCAATCCAGAATCCGCACCAGATGTAAACAGTTCGTTGTGAGGATTTGCGCATAGTTGCGAACTAGAGAAAAAGCACGCGACACACACACACACACACTCGCGCGAAAAAGGATGCGCGATAAGAGGAGGCAGCTGCTGCTCCTGCGGCTAAGGCGGCGGCTGACGCTGAGGCTGTGGCTGTGGCTGTGGCTGAGGCTGCGGCTCAGGCTGTGCTTGATGCGGTGGTACATAACGACGACAAGGTCGAATGGCTTAGGAAGTAATTTTAGCATTGTAAATCCTTTTCGAAAATTATAGCGACAGCCAGCTTGTAGTTAGTGGCAGACAGCTAGAGGGATGTGGTTGAACAAGGGGGAGGGGGGGGGGGGGGGGGGGCTATCATAAGATCAAGCGCGGGCACAAATTGCGTTGGCTGCCTTCAAGTGTACGAAAATTTGCGCACCAATAACAACACACAAATTCATATACATATGTAAATTTATATACCCTGTAGCTTGGCATAGTGGGCCGTGTTCGTCGGCAAGCCCCAGCCAATTGGCCCCGTGTTGCCTTTTAGGTGGTTAGAAGAAGGGACAGCGCTGTCGCTTCTCCTATCCTCGGGTGGAGAGCACAAGGAAAGGTGATCATGCGCGTGCTTCGTTCAACTCCGGACTACAGGGTATGCATATATACATATAATTATGTTAACGTACACACAGACACACACGCCCACACACACACACGCGCATCGGCAACAGTCAAGCGCAAAAAAATTCATATGACATTTGAAAGGCTGCTCAGCCGCTCCGGCAACTGGCAGGGCTCAAGGCAAGCCAAGACGGCGAATTGTGCAGGGTGTAGGATGGCATGCTTGGCTAAGATGGTATGGCCTAGGTGATGTGGAAGAGGGGACGGCAGTTGGTTTAGTGAGTCACATATAGAGATAGACGCGTACATAAATTTGCTGGGCGTTCTAGCAAAAAATAATGCATGCATTCCCAATTTCAAAGTGCCTTCATCTAAAATATGTGCGGCAATTCAAGTACGCACACACACAGGCATCTATGCCCGTAAATACACTTACGCACGTTACGTTATAGCTCTAGATTTATTTTGACATTTGTTTTTTTGTGTGCGTCTCAAAGAGGCACAAAGTATGGAAATGCCAACTTAATGGAAAATTCAAAATATCCACTTCAATAAATTTTGCATTACGTTTACGTACGTACGTAAGCAGGCGGTATGTCGTTCATGAGCTGAGCTGTTCATTCTGCAGGCTAGTTATGTTTTTAAGTTCGCAAGAGCACAACAAACTTGACAAGTGGTCTCGCAAGAAAAGCTAATATTTTTCGTTACGTTACGTAAGAAGAGATTACTGAAGACAGCCATAGCAAATGTTTTAAGCAGAAGTTGCATTAACGTTACGTTACTATATGACGTAAACAATGGACCAGATCATACCATAAAAAAAGTGCAGAGCTGTTAACTAGCTCCCTGGTAAAAAACGTAGGCAACCTTCTGCAAGAGTTACACATGAACACGATACGTACCGTAAGCTTACATCGTAAGAATCTTTTTGACGTAAGGCATATCAAAATGTTAGCGCTAACGTAATATTATGAAATTATGATCGGTTATTTTTTAGTATCCAAATGGTCAAATTCAATAAGCTGTAGTAAAAACCAATTGAGTTTGATGGCATTGGAAAAGTTTTACGTAACGTTATTGAATACTCGGCCACTTTTAAGTCGTAACGTAGTTATATAAAATTGATTTATTGTAGCTGATTGACCCACAAAAAGTTGACAATAAGTTCTTTTATTTAATGTGCAGACACAGAAAAAAAGCAAGCCGATTCGTAAAATTTGTTGGAAAATTGGAAAGGTATTTTCAGTGAATAGAACCGAGAAAACTTTGGTACATCAATCTATAAATATCAATCGATTTTTTTTTTCTTTTGTAATAATGTCTGAACTAAAAAATATAAGAAAAATAAATGTATAACTAGGCTTTTTTCGCACGGTGTATTTTTCGTGCTGGCAAGTTTTGTTGGTTTAAAAGTTTATGAAGGGGGGCTCCTGGACAAAATTCGCAATGCGGTTTTCTGTCTCTGGATTTGCTTGCCGCTTGTTTTCTCTATCTCACATTTGACAGTTGGCATTACGGCGGCCAGATTGAAAATCGCAAAAAAGTCGGCCAGCAGCAGACGTCGTGCGCGATGGCAACTTGATATTTTATTTGAATGCAATGACCAAATCAAAATACCAGTCGGGTGTTGCTGGAGTGAGCGACCGGAACATACCCTCTAAGCAGATCTCTTGGGATTCAGTTGTGGTCGATTATTTGAGGTGCATCGTATGTTAATGTAAATGATATCAAACTACTTCTTGTATTACTTTTAATAATTTTGTATACATATTTGCTTAAACATAGCAAAATTTGGAAACCTTCAATAGAGTACTTTGCGTTACCAGCAGAAATTCTAATTTGCATATTCATATCAAGCTTTAATGGTGCAAACTTAGTTTTAATAATGCAGTCCGCTCGATCGTAGGTCCATTGTGGTGCCATAGATACAGTCCAGGCATCTTAAAGAATATAAAACAAACAAAATTGTCAGCGAATAGCTTACGAGCCAGTGCTCTCAACTTACCTCGTCTAGTTAGTGCGCGGTGCTAGTGTTAAACGTCGTAGTGTTAGGCAATAGGTTATGGTGCATAGTTCGGTGTGAATATCAATTCGTGCAGCGAGTTGTGTATAAGTCGTTGTATTGGTCAATATAAGTGTGTGTTTCCGAGTCAGCCTACCTCACAGTGTTGGATAGTACGAGTATGTGAATAGTTACATTTACATTTATACATTGTAGTGTTGCGCAGTACGACAGTGTGCGTAGCTTAGAGTGAATTTTAACATCTATTTTTTTTATTAAGTGTTGGACAATACCTATGTGTAATAAGCTTGTGTTGAATTTATGGCTTTTAAGTTGTCATTACATCGTAGTGTTGGTTAACACGTTTGTGCACATATTTAAGTGTGTGAATATCAGTACGAGTTTTTCGTAATATACATGTCGGCGTGTTAGGAAATATTTTTCAGTGTGTAGGTGCGTTTTATTATGCACAGTAAATGTCCGTGTATGCGACAAAAAGGGGGACTGAAAGTAAAATTACCTTGGGAAAAATGTAAATGATTACAATATGAATTGTTAACTTACATGCAACGATACATTTTAGATTTTCGTATGTTTTTTCTAAAATCACAATCACTTTTAGCTTAAGAACAATTTTTTTAAAAATTTTTTTTTAATTTGTGTTTTTGTTAAATTCTATTGTTGTACTCCCCATCCTTATGAGTTTTGTAGTGAGGTTTTGTAGTCTGAAGGCTTCATATGAAAATTTGAGTGAAAGTCCTAAGAATGCTACTTCGTTCTGATAAAATCTCTATAATATTATAAACATTATGAGTTCAGACGAATTTTAGATGTCAGGGGAGAAAACAACATTATGAACATGGTACAGGAAAACATGAAAGCTAAGAGGATATTACTCGCATTTAATTTAAGTTTGAAGCCGATTTCATTTTTACGACGATCTTTGCAAATGCGCTTAAGCCTGATCGGATTTCAAACAAAAACGTCTCATGAAATCATTTTTCAACTATTTTCCACTCATTTTCCATCCGTTTTCCACAGTTAAAGGGGCGACTCTTAGTTGAAGCGAATTTTTAGTTTTTCTTGCTAAAAATTACTGAGAAGGTTTTAAAATTGATTCGTTAAAATTGGGACAAGCCAAAGGTTGAATATAAATCAAGTTGGCGTTGGATGAAAAGTTCACGAACCGACAGAAAATAAAATAGTTTCACATAATAATCGTATTTTGTTTTTGACTAAGTCCGTGTCGGATACCAGAAGACACCATTTCTCATCTTTGTGTGCACAGGGTATATCAACCGAATCCTGGTTAATGCAGCTACGAATGACTGCAGCTACTTGCCACACACACGGCCACACACACGGGCACACACACTCGCACCCGCACCCGCACACACACCTATGCCTTGGGGCTGCCTCGGAAGTAACTGTAAGGCAGCTAGCGGATTTACTCGTCCATTTTGGCCAGATTACTTGTAGCCAAAGTCGATGCCGGCTGGCAATGTGCTAAAAACCATATAAGATATAGGAACTTCTAGATTTTGCCTCTCTTTATTTTATTACTATATTTTCGACTTTTTTGTTCTAGCCCTGGCGAATTGTGGCAGCTGGTAATTGGTAGCTTTGCGCATGCAGTCAAAAAAACAGAAAAAAAAAATAATAAGAACAAAAATGTTCAGTGAATTGCGTATACGCCTTGAAGGCCGTGGCTTAGGCAGCTGCAACAGCAGCCGAACTTGCCCAAAACGAGAAAGTTGCTTTTGGCAGCAGCAGCGGAGAAGTTGAAAAATATTTTTGCTCGGCGCTAAAGTATTTCAGCAATGTGCTGAATATATTTATAAACTTGTACCAAAATGTACTCATTTAAAATTGTGCGCTACCCTCCCAGCAGCCTCCTCCGCCCTGTCTTCACTTGACTTGCCAAAATCTTTGGCATAGTTCTCGTCCTGAGCCCTCGCTGGGATAGTTTGTGGTCCGTTAGAGCCAAAGCTCAGCTAAAGTATGCGGCAGCTGTGGCAGGTGAAAAACTTGTGAAAATTAGCAACACTGCCGTCGGGCGTTTAACAACACTGAATGTTACTTGACACACTGTCTTTGCCCGGCCCAACCAGTATTAGCCAAAACCAATGGCATTTCCTTCAAATTGACTCAGCTTCCCAAGATACTGTTGTCGTCACAATCTAATCATCTTCTTGAAAAGCCCCGAGAGCATTCCGAGTTGAATTTGGCCAAAACGATATCAATTTAAATCAACTGACTTCAATTGATTTCAGTTATATCCCAATGGCATTCTGTACTATTATTATTAAAATCAAGTACTTTACTATTTTTTAAATTTTGAATGCATATTTGCTAAAACAGAACACAATTTGGAAACCTCGAATCAAGTACTTTGCGATTTCAGCACGTAAATTGCCGCAAAAGCCTTAATTGAATGCGGCTCAAAGCTGACGCGGCAATGCCTAAAGTCATATGTAGTATATAAATATTTACTGCTCTAATACCCTGCAATTAAGCAGGATTGGGTTTGCTGCCTTGATGGAAAGTAATATATATTTAAGTATATGCAACAACTACCTCCAGCAGATATTAAACTTTTTACACCTATAGAGTATATTTTAGTCAACTGTAAAACATATAACAACATATTCTATTAAAACTAAATAATTAACCAACACAATTCACAGTCCATAAAAATGTATGCACATGGTTTGATTAAAGCCGTGCAAATCCTCAAAATAATTTATACATACCTGTTAAAAAGGCAAAAATTGCAATGCAATTAAATGCCCGCAGACATACAAATGCGACTATAGAAATAGTTGTGTGTGTGCGTGTGTGTGTGTGTGTACATGTACATACATATATTATGAGACAAGCTAAAAATCAAATGCAGCAACAACCGGATGGTGGCAACAAAATGCAAATGGACGCCAGCGGAAACCGCGCCAACCGCACACCGGAAAACTAAACACGCGCTAAAGAGACGCAGCTGTGTGCGGGGCATCGTTTGTGCGGCTGGATGGCAAAGGAGAGGGGGGCGGGGAGGGGGAGGGGGATGGTCGGCTTAGGCCGGCTTTCACTGGCCAGTTGCTCGGGCACCTGGCAACTCGTTAGCGCTTAACAGGCCCAAATGCTATGTCCAATATCAATATTGACATTAATTTGTGCGGCTCCACAAGCTTTGCAGACAGCCGACCATCCCCTTGCACCGACAATCGCCCCTGTCTCTGCGTTTCGGTTGAGTGGGCGGGACCTTTGGGCTGGGGTCCAGTGAAAGTGGATGCGGCGCCTCCAACTGGCTGCTGGCAGGCAAAAGCGCTGCATTAGCCCATATCGTATATCATATGCCAGTCACTTCTAAAAAAAAAAAAACTAGTAGGGGTGCTTTAGTAGGAACTGCCCGACTAGAATATGCCCTGCTCACAGCGAAGGGACCCTCTATACACACATACACTAAAGGCACACGAATGTGTGTTTATTTCCAAGCTCAAGAATCTAGCGTTAAACAAAATAAATACAAGAAGAAATCTGGATACATATCAAAAAGTAAGATCGTCTCATTAAGTCGATAATTATCGATATATTGGAAACGCAGAGAGATATCGATAAACAAGGCTCTGGCCTGGGAGAATGTTTATTTCCAATTTGAAGACTCCAGCTTTTGTAGCTTTCCAGATAGATAAGATTGTCTTCCTGACAAAGAACATATATATAATATAAGAAGTTGGGAGATGTTACATGCCTTACAGCACAAAACTAATATACCCATTTGAAGCATTTGCAATGCGTTCAGGGTATCTAGAAAAAATGAAAAGCCGCGTAGCAGCATAAAATGAAAAATGCCGCAGGGCCGCATGAGTTTTGGGTTTGGGGCTCGGAATCGGAACCGTGCTGTTGCCCATGTTGCCATAGCTGTTGCACACACACAAAAAAGCGAAAAAATGCAACTTACTTATACCCTGTAAGCAGTTCTCATAGCATGTATGTAGCTATTCTGTTTATCAGTCGCTCTGCTTTAAATTTCGTCTCTATATCATAAATGTATTACGTTCTTTTCGATATGGGTGTTGGAGGACAATGTGATAATTTTTGTAGATACACTATGCTGTAGTTCTTTAGGTTCTAAAGGTGAGTTTGTCGCTCTATTATTTTCACTTCAAGTTCTTAATCGTTCTGCCCTTTTGCTAGTTAGTGTAAGTGCATTAGTTATCCCACCTCCAGAAACACTCATATGCCTTTACCTTTGGAAAATGTCCAAATTATTTGTCATGCCCAAATTCTGGTGATCTCAGCCTTGGAAGACTGTCAATATTGAAGTGTTGCCAACTTTGTGAATTCAAATTATCTTTTGATTCATAATTCAAATTCTTGCAAAGTTTCTAGCCTAGAGAATGTGTTTAAATTCCATATTGAATATAAAAGCAAACCATAACCACGGGAATTGGGAAAGTGAAGACAAGAGTGAAAAATGGGTGGAATATGGTATTTGTGAACTTTTTTCAACGATTGCTCATATTTGCAGAAGGTACTGTCATTTTTGCAGAAGCTTGGATTAGCCAACACAAAGGATGAGAACACTTCGCAACAGCAGCAGAAAGTTGGGACATGAAACATGCCCAAGAGGGCAATAAAATACTAGGGCATCATATTATCCACGTAGCTATTGTGCCGGGAACACATGGAACTACAGGGTTCTTAACTCCTACGCTTGAATCTCATTAGACGGTGTTTATCTGAGGTGGCCTTCAGCCAAGAATTGTTAATATGCCACATGTGGGCGATTACAGGGTATTAAGAATCGGAGGCTTTTTTTCTTATGGCAGCGCAAAGAATCTAAAAACAACTGCAAAGCATTTGCATGGCCAATGGCGAAGGCGTAAACTGTAGTCAAAATTGGTGGGCGTGTGGCTGGTGGGTGTGGGTGTGTGTGTGGGTGTGTGTGTGTGGGTGTGTGTGTGTGGGTGTGTGTGTGTGGGTGTGTGTGTGTGTGGGTGTGTGTGTGTGGGTGTGTTGTGGTGCAGGTCACCGTCGAGGTTATTATCATGTTAAAACTGCAAAATGCAATAAGTTAGCTGGCGAACCGCGTTCCGGCCAACGGGTGGCTGGCATTCAGGCGGCAGCCCTGCTGTGCCAAGATTTATTAAGTACATTTTTGTAAATATGTATGAATATATTTTGTTATTTTCGTTTTTTTTTTTGTTTTTCGTTACTTTAGAGAATGGGTGAAAGGAAGGCGAAGTGTTTGTGCAATGTATTCAACAGGCAGTAGAGAGAATATTGATCTGTCGATCTGTCTGCCTGTTTAAAATAAGCTACAGAATTAATATATGAAATAAATCTCGATTTTAAGACCTTGTTTTTAAGTTTAGCTTGTAATTTAGGTTCTCGTCTAGTATAAGTAGATCGGAAGAGTTCAAAATGTTGAATACCTTGCCCAAATTCCCGCTGAATATTTGAAGGATTCCATTCTCTTCTAATTTGGTGCAAATTAGGATATTTTCATAATGATCTGACTTTGAGCACCGAAGATATTAAAGCTAACATTATCCTTAGTGTTGGGCTAAGGAAAGAAGCAGCATAGTCGCTGCCGCAAAGTGTAAGAGGAGCTAAGGGCGAACCTTAGGGTATTTGCTAGTCGTGCACACCCGTTGTTGTTCTTCTGTTTGTGTGCTGTTCTCATTGGTTATGCGAAAAATCTG